AGTCTATAAGGGAAGAATTTTCTCGTTGTCCCACAGATAGGGGTCGGACAGCCAAATACACACAGACAGGCTATTCCTGAATACTTTATATTACCTCTAACAGAACCTAGACAGTAGGTTCTGGTAAATGCCCGCCGAAAAGCAACTACTTTCTCGGCTATCACCGCACTGGACATTGACTTACATCCGACACACATTTATGAAGATACCTCACAGCCCCATCTAGTTCACGAGATGGGTACTACTGTGTGGGTAGTTTTGGAGGGATGAATATTTTTTCTTCAGAAAATCCGTTGTTCTATTTACAAAAGTTAAATATATGCTCGAGATGTGGTAGAATTAACGGAGAGTAGTATGAAATCATCGTGCATTCGATTTTATGGCTAGAAACTTCTCGAGTATTGGTATTTTTTTAGTAGACGTGAATGTGAATTCACCTCTTTCAAGAGTTTTTAAAGGGGAAGAGCTCTGAAGTTTCCTTATTAGGCACTTATTGACCTTTGGAAGTTAACTCACCGAAATAATCTTTGAGATTTCATTACAGTTTCCAACATTTGCAAGAATATCTACAGACTTTTTAAAGACAGTTATTCAGTACCTTCCACATATTATGGTTGTTGTTTTGTTGTAATTGCGGAAAGACATTTTTCTAATTTATTTGAACGTAATGCAAAGTGGAAATGAAATTACACGTCATAATTTGTTATCATTACTCGTATAAAAAAAATCCAACCTCTGCTACTGATAGATATACACACAGGACTACTAGTACAGCATATATTATTCTAAGATACATTCGACCATTTTGATATTTTGATTTTCTTCTTTTTCATCATCATTCAGAAAGCGGAATGCTGCATGAAAAAAATATATTGACTTGGCTGAATAGATTATCCACTGAAGATTCTTTCAGATACAAACGGGAAGAACTAAATCATACAAAACAACTACGTTCAAATATATAATTTACTTTTTTCTTCGCTTCGAGAGTTTTTTATTCTCTATATGAAAGAAAATGGAAAGGAACCTCTTTGACTTCGTAGAGAGTTAGCCAAAATTTGGACAACGTCTAGCGGTCAATTGCGAACCGTTTGAATATTTACTGTGAATTTTCTTTCGTTCGTTTCAGGTATTGAATTCAGTTGCTGCATAACGACGTTATTACATTTGATAATTGAAAATTGTAGTCATCAATAACTTCTCAATTGAAGTGGCAAACATGATAGCCCTGTTCCCTGTGCGAACTTGATACTTTTTGGAAGGAGTTCAGAAAAATGACTCTGGAAATTGAAAAAGAAATAGAGGCCTATCTCGAGACTTTCAAAGAATATTGCTCATTCAGTGTGTACCCCTTCTCTCTACTGTTCTGAACAAATGCTCTTCTTTCAGTATTTAGAATGATAAACATTGGAAGGGGCTCTTTGGTAATTTTGTTATTACTGAAATTCAGCCTGGTTGAATCTTCGATAATAGCTAACACTTCTAGACCAAAAAATGTTATAATTTAGAGTCCTGTTAGAGGAAGTGAATGTATGACAAGACACGTGTCGCGGTTTCTGTAAACCTTTATAGTGAAAATCACACCACAATAAAATACTAGTAAGATTCTTGATTACTTTGGCAACTAACAGCTTTATCTCCATGTTCGATAAAAGATATATTTATTTAGTTTATAACTATTCATTATACCACATCACCATTTTTTCATCTCTCCCTCAACTAACGAAGATATCGAAAACAGCTGGAGTTTTTTCCCAACAACACACCGTTATTCCAACACCTCGACACGTGTTTCGATCACCAAGATGAAGAGTTTGATCTTTCTCTTGAAGATAATCATTTGGTGATCGAAACATGTGTCGAGGTGTTAAAATAACGATTTGGTGTTGGAAAAAAACTCCAGTAATATTCATTACTACACCAAAAGTTTCAAACAGTGCATCACAAGTAACGAAGATATTGGTTTTAAGAAAGTTTTGAGTGGTTCATTCTACTCAATCAATAGACTGCACAGTGGAAAGTAAGACCACGTTAATCGTCAACTAGACCAAGTTTATATTTTAGAGAGTTTTCGTTTGTGAGGTTGCGCCGGCTGGTTCACAGAACATCGGATTGAAACATAATTCTCCTTTCATTTTTCCATTCTGACCAGTCTATAAGGGAAGAATTTTCTCGTTGTCCCACAGATAGGGGTCGGACAGCCAAATACACACAGACAGGCTATTCCTGAATACTTTATAAGCCTCTGTGGATTCCCATCCGGCAAGCGCGTTAGAACACCACCAGGGGGTTCTTTTCAAATAAAATCCCCAAATATCTCACGTTATAAAAGATGACTTAACGTAATGTCGGTTCATGAATGTCGGGATGTATAACTTTTGTGCGGCGACATTTCCTTTCATTGGTGATGTTTTGAGCGAAGGATATTGAAGAGAAACTTGATCGATCAGTTTTTGACGAGAAGATTTGACAAATTGGAATGATGGAATATTTTTTGTCGTTAAATGTGGTTTATAATATTTATCGCTGAATGTTAATGTTGGAATTTCTATAGTTTCCAGAAATTAACATAGACAGTACGACCGGCTTTGAGGTGACATGTGTTATATACTTCTAACGATTTTATATACACTGTGTCCGTAAAGTATGGAACAAATTCATTTTTAGCTAAACAGGTCATTTCAAGAAATAATCCTGAAACACGTCGATTTTGATGTTAATTTACCGTATTTTAAAATAATAATCCAATATACAGGGTGAATTACGTTCGAGTAATGACGTCACCGTCATTTTTTCAAATGAAACACCCCCATTTTGTCTCAATTTTCGGATTACTCTAGCTGAGCTGATTCCAAAAATGTATCACATGTTGATTCCAATTGGTACAGGGTGGACAAAAATACAGTAGTTGTGTGTGTGCTAATAAAGTAACGCGTAACATTCTTTATTAGGTAAATTAACAATATTATCAAAAATACTTATTGTCTAGCGGCAATTGGTTTGAATGTAACACCCCGTAGTTTGCTACATGTTTAGAGTAATAAAAATGAGCTGTTTCCAAACATGTTTGGTACTTGTGGTCTAGCAGACAGGATATGAAAGAAATTATTTCTTATCTACATTTATAAAAAACATAGTCGTCTAGTTTTTTATGAAATATCATTATTTGTTTAGTAATTTATTGATGTTCAGTGACAGTTTAGTACTACAATATTTTTGGTATTCATGAATATTCGAATGATTGCTTAGCTTTAATTGGAAGTAGAAATGGAGTTAAGTGTAAAACAAAGAATTGAAATACTTATGATGATTGGGTATGGAGACAGATCACGAACTCAGATGAAAGTGTGCAATTTGTTTAATGATAAATATCCAGAAAGACCTATAACGCGTTCAACAGTCAGTAAGCTGGAAACGAAATTTCGAGAAACTGGTACGGTTGCAAATGTACGAAAATCAGGTCGTCCCCCTGCAAATGCTGATACAGCATTAGATGTTTTACTGAGTTTTGAAGAAGATGCGCACACTTCTGTTCGTGAAGTTAGTCGCGAAATCGGTGTTGGCAAAACAACGGTACGCAAATTATTGAAGCTTGAAAAATGGCATCCTTATAAAATCAAACTTGTACAAGAATTAAACGAAGATGATCCCGAAAGACGACTCCAATTTTGCGAAAAAATTATGAATAAATGTCACCGAGACCCTCTCTTGATACAAAACATTATTTTTTCTGTTGAGTCCACTTTCACGTTAAATGGTGAGGTTAACCGTCAGAATTGTAGATACTGGGCAAAAGAAAACCCCCACTGGATGCGTGAGCATCATACACAATACCCTCAAAAGGTAAATGTATGGGCTGGAATTGTACGAAATCGAATCATTGGACCCTACTTTATCGAAGGTAATTTAAACGGGGCAAAGTACCTTGAGTTTTTAAGGTGGTATCTCGTACCTACTTTACGTAATTTATTTCCCAGCAGACGTATTCCTGGAGGTTTTGATGAAAGTTTATGGTTTCAACAGGATGGTGCACCTCCACATTATGCTGTAGATGTTAGAAGGTACGTAGATAAAATTTTTCCGAACAGGTGGATTGGTAGACGTGGACCCACTGAATGGCCAGCGAGGTCACCAGATTTAAATCCTTTGTATTATTTTCTGTGGGGTCATCTGAAGAATGTTATTTATAAAACGAAATCAGCAAATATTGAAGAGGTACAAGTGAAAATTCGAACAGAAATAAACAATATTACGCAAGAAACCATACACAAGGTTCAACAAGAATTTGTACACCGTTTGGGTTACAGTCAAATACAGCAAGGGCTGCAGTTCGAACATTTAATATAAAGTCATGTATTTCAGCATATTCTGTCCGCTAGACAATAAGTATTTTTGATAATATTGTTAATTTACCTAATAAAGAATGTTACGCGTTACTTTATTAGCACACACACACAACTACTGTATTTTTGTCCACCCTGTACCAATTGGAATCAACATGTGATACATTTTTGGAATCAGCTCAGCTAGAGTAATTCGAAAACTGAGACAAAATGGGGGTGTTCCATTAAAAAAAAATGACGGTGACGTCATTACTCGAACGTAATTCACCCTGTATATTAGATTATTATTTCAAAATACGGTAAATTAACATAAAAAATCGACGTGTTTCAGGATTATTTCTTAAAATGACCTAAAAATAGCTAAAAATGAATTTGTTCCATACTTTACGGACACAGTGTATATAAAGTACGCTTTATTACAAATAATTGTATTATTTCTCAATTCAGCTCATTAATTATGCATTTCGTAATACGAGTCCTACGCTCAACTTCGGTTTCAATGAATTTCTCTGTCTTTGTTTGTACTGCATTCTCAATGTCACTGTTTCAAATTGATAATAATATTTAATGTGTTCATGCTACAAATACATTTTCTGCATTGAATTGAAATTTTGGTAGGGGATTTTGTAATTTGGCTATTATTTTTGATAAGACATGTCATTTTCAGAAGGTAACTTTTATTAATAAAATGTATATATTCGTTATAACTATTGACAGTGATGTCACTCTATTGGCTTGTGAAAAAAGGTTCCCTGCCAGCTCAATATTTCTTAGTTGAGAGATTGATGATATCAATCACGATTATCGGCATCCAATGCAATGTTTTCTATTGAAAAAAATGTTACAATCACCAATCAACCAAATTGAAAATTGAATAAGTAATATTTTCGAATAATTCAATTGAGGATTACGAATCAAAATAAAAAACAGGATTTTTGCCTCTGCAGTTGGAGAGCTCTCATACATTCACTATTAACTTGACGTTCACGTTTGAGAGTTTCTAAACAGCTCTTCTCAGATACTTCCATCATGTACATTAAAAGAGCGAGAAGTATGATGAACCCTGCTGTTAAATACTCGTGGCGATTGATCCAAATCGAAATACATTCAAAAATATTGAGTAAAAGTGAAAAGAAAAGATCAGTGTTGGTCCACTTATCCACTTTTCGCACTGCTGGAACTGCATAAGTTTGAGTTGAGTCAGTGTTAGTCCACTCTTCGATGTGATCTAGTGACGAAGGTAACTCAAGAAAATTATCGTGAATATCAATTACTAGTTTGAACTCTACATTGATCATTTGAGAGTCTCGAAGTCCGTCCAAGTCCACACGCACTTCGTCGAAATTACCAGAACCATAAGGAACACAATTATCAGCAACAGTCCTAATACCGTAAGGTTCTGAACCCTTCGTGATGAAAAATGTGTATTTTGAATATTCAGCTTCCTCTTTATCTCCCAACAAAAATACTTTTAATGAAATGTATTCTTCTATCGTATCAACTCTGAGTGATATAAAAAACAAGCGATTTTCTTTTCTGTGCAGGAAAATACTTGCATTTGCGGACCATTCGGTTGTATCTATGTTGAAGTTTGGCCCCTCTAGAAGAGCGTTGGGGTGTATTTCCTGGAAATGCTTGATCATCAGATATGTAGGAACCTGAATGGAAACCGGGCATTTCGGGCATACATATTCCCTACTTCTGCAGTATATTTCGTGAAAACGCACTTGAGAATACCTGAGAAGTTTGCGGCATCCATCAAATCTGTAAAGAAGAAACCAATATCAGTTGTCTATTAGATGAGCTTTCAATTTTATATGAATGAAGTTGGAACTCAATAGAGATTTACAATAGAGTTTTGTTCTGGTAAAGTTCTGGTATGTGAGATCAGTATTCGTGTTGGATATTGAGTTACATGAATATGAAAGATAAATTTTGTTTGTATGAGAAGATAGAGAATTTGTGACTATGAAGGAGAGCAACAGTTGATATTTAAAATGCCTCGTCGTATTCAAGATTTCTTGATGCGTCACTTTCTTCGCAAAAATATCAATAAACCCTTCTTCTCACCACTGAAACATTTCCACTATTTGCTTCCTAACAAAAAATTATTTGCTGAAAAACTCTTACTAAACACTCAAATCACTCACTTTATATATTACGTCACATCAAAATGCTTTCTGATTGCTTGACGTCACAAGTCTGTATACAGCATTGGACAAAATGTTGATACAAAATCTCATCATATTATTGAGAAGTAATTGAGGTCAGTTCTCATCAAGAAGTAATATGAAGTGTACATTGAATATGAGTTTATTTCAGGAGGCTTTAGTTTTTGGGAACAAGGTTTTTTACTATCTTCCATAAATGTCTGTTCGGATATACCTAATTCAATGTTTGGCGTGTTGATTGCCGGGGAAGTAGTTGTTTTCCGGCAGGCATTTACCAGAACTTACGGTGTAGGTGAATGGGACAGATAAATATTTCTGGATTTTGTTTCGATATATTCATTTTCTGATTCTCAAATTCTTTACCATCTCATCAATAGCAAGATTGCTGGTATCATTTGATGATATAAGTGCAGAAGTCGAAGAGAAAAGTATTTTATGAAACGTGACTGACTCAGTGCTTTCTCTTCTGGAAATCTGGCAATAGCGGTTGCACTTGCTGAGTGTCAAAGATTATGTACATATAACATGTTTAATCGTATATCAAAAGTGTATTGTTATTTTTCGAAATACTTATATTTATTGTATCAGTCATCATAGATAAATCAACAAACCTGTTGACACATTTGAATAAACTCTGCTTTCCGACTTTCTCGAAGAAAGAAACTACTCCATCCTCTTCATTCTCCGTACAACGTCCGCATTTCTTCTCTTTATTTTCGTACACTTTGACAGGCCCTACCGAAAGGAACTTATGACAACAGCTGCACGACAGTGACTCAAGTAATTCGTCGGGAAGAAGGAGAGACATGTTTTTCCTGTGATTTTCACTGCCGCGTATATTTGATCTTTGTTTTGGTCGGACATGAACTGAATCATGCAAGTTTACTGAATCATTAAGTCGATATAATGTGTACATTCTCGAAAGTAATAATAGTTTCACAATGTTGCCTAGTGTGTTTGGAAGTCTCACTTCTCATTATTTTTCGTCAAGAGGTTTTTAAAAATTCAGCCTTGTCATTTTTCATATCTTTTGAAGATGTTCACACAATTTTTGAAAGGTAGATACTCTTCTCAATACTGTACAATCTTTCTTTTATGTCCTATGAAACTATAAAATGCATTTTTCATAAACATTTGATACTTATATTATATATACTAGACAAGTTGTTGCCCGCGGCTTGGCCCACGTTAAATTTGGTTCATCAATAATGTTTTGTGACAGACCGTTTCAAACAAATGGTTAAAAAAAATTTATCAACTCAAAACTTCAGGTTTACAACTTCAAAACTGATGAAATTCAATACAATCTGTGAACCTCTATTTTTCCTGTTCGGAAGTGGAATTTCCTGATTTCCTTTCTAGGTGCTCATTTACGCTATACAAAGAACCTACCTGCATAATTCAAGATTCTAGATTCAGTAGCTTCGGCTGTACGTTAATATAAGAGCGGACAAGAGCTAGTTATTCAAATTTTACTTTAAAAATATAGAATGCTAACTGCACTAATGAATAAATAATAGCTTGGAGAATCGAATTATATTACCTATAAAGAAATTTGCCAAACTAACACAACCGTCAACGACGTCTGCCTTCACGCTTCTACCCGCATTCGTGTCGCGTTCTCGGCGATGGTGCTTCATTGATTGGACCGCCCCTCTACCCCTGCGCTTACTGCGTTGCGTCACGGTATTATCATCGTGATACCTTTTAAACGATTCGTCCAAATTACTTCTGTAGAAGACAAAGTTTATCTATATAGTGTTCCCAGATCTGTTCCGGTCTAGTAGAGTCTTGATGATTCCTCTCTCAGTCGATTGATGGTGGTTGGATTCTTGGTTCAGATATTGTCCCGTGTGAATGGGTTTTGGACATACAGAGTAAGGGAGAGAAGGAGAAGCCGCCACAACCAGTACTTGTTCTTCCCTACATCGGAGGATTGTCGGAAAGGATAAGAAGGATTAGGTTCAAGTATAAAATCAGAACCTGCTTCAGATCTGGGAACACTAAACGTAGCAGTCTCACGAAAACCAGGCCATCAAACGCGGACTGCGATTCCAAGAATTGCATTTACCGGATACCCTGCGAGTGCGGAGAATCATACATCGGTGAAACTGAGAGGCCATTGAAAGTTCGTATTGCTGAGCACAAGAAACACATACAGCGAGGAGAAACTAGCAAATCCGGAATAGCAACAACAACTCATCAACATAACATCAAGTGGGCTCAAGCTGAAATCATCCACAAGGAAAAACACTGGTTCAGAAAAAAATTCAAAGAAGCTGCATATATGTTGTCCAACAATGTATTTACCCAGCTAGCGTAGAGATTCGTAACATATAGAAACCTATTATCAAGCGGAACATGACCAACTCCCGCCAAACGGTCAGCTCCCGCTAAAATCCAATGAAGCGGAGAGAGGGCAGAGAAGATAGGTGAAAGCAGTCGTATGACCTATAAATAGTCAGATCTCGAAGTAATACGTCCAGTTATTTCATTAGTTTGGACTTCCATTATCTAATATGATATAAATTGATTTGAAATTCCTGTAAAAAACTAAAAAGATTAGCTGAAAAATAACAATTATATTAAGCAAGCTACTGAAATTACAATGAAATGAAATACAAGCAACAACAGAAAAATGAAAATAAAAAGTTGAAATATTCCAAACCACACACATACACGTTACTACACGACGTTTCGATTGTTAGTGTCCACAATCATCTTCTGGTGATAACTGGACCTATTCCTCCGAGATCTGCCTATTTATAGGTCATTCGAGTGCTTTCACATATCCCCTCTTCCCTTTCACCGCTTCATCGATTTTAGAGGAAGTTGAACGTTTGGCTGAAGTTGGTCATGTTCCACTTGATTAGAGGTTTCCATAAGTTGCGTATCTTTTCCGTATGTTGCGTATCTCTTTTACACATTCTTTCACGGATTTCAAATCAATTTAGACGATGGAAGTCCGAACTAATGAAATGCTCTACGAAACATTGTCAACCACCTTCAAACCAAAGTATAGATATGTATTAGTATAGATTATGTCAGTATCGACATATTCAAGAAATTAAAAAGAAGAGAGCGTTCAGAAACTTGCATTCAAATTAGTGTTTATTTGTGATTAAAACCAAATTTCCTCCTGGTTTATTAAATGCAAAGTCCAAAGGAAATTTATTTCTCTCCCGGGCACTCTGTGCTCTTTTCATTACAGGCCATGAATTAACTTTCAATTCGCACAGGAAGAATAAATGAGGTTCGCATTCATGAAATATTGCAGTTTTAATTCTATCAAAATTATCTGGATGAGTTATTTACATCGAGGAAAAATTCATTGAGATGAAATACTATATACAGGCTGATCTAAATTAATTCTGTAACATTGGTAATACTGTTATTAGAAATATAAAATCGTAAAATTCCGCATTTCCGCTCTCAGGAAGGAAACAAAACAAATTGAGATGATACTTGAATATAATATTGTTCTGGTAATTACTTTGACCTCGCTTTTCGCATTTGATATATCAATACGATTTTTTTATATTTGTATAGAAATAACTATCGAAATTGATGAAAAACTCATATACATTGAATAAAGATTTCAATTTGAAAAATGAATCAAATTGGTTCCCGACGTTTGCTATTCATTCTTTTGAGAGCAGTTTGAGTCAGTATTATCTTGAACCACCCTATTTCATTCGTGCAAAATTCAGCGTCTTCAAGTTTTACCAACATCTTGAAACGGAGAATCACTTCGAGAGTCTACTGGTCTGTAGATATTTCACAGTCCTATTGAGTACACAGACTACAAACGATTAAGCGAATTTACAATGATTAATACAAAACTATATCTTCGGAGTTGTCCCGATAGATTTCAAACAAAATTTTTCTATAAATTGGACAGAAATAATCTATACGCTAAAGAAACCCAGAGACCCAAAAATTCACTACTGCCATAATTATTTTCAAATAATATTTGGTATTCAAATACAAGATTATTACTAAGGTGGTAAAGGTAATGAAATATTTAAAATTCCACATACCTTGTGAGAGATGGATACACTTCTGAAACTTTATAAGTATTTGACAAAATGTTTCATTACAAAACATTCATTCAACTTTCTGAGAAATCGATAAATAATTGATGAAATAAGGGTCAATTTTTTCCATCAACAGAAATGATGAGACTCTTTTTGATGACAATAATCGCAAACAGCTGTATCAGCGTCTGGTGACAGCGATAAAATCAACAATCATGAAATGAATACCAAGGTGTCATTATTGTTGAATAATAAGTGACTTTCAGGGGCTAGTTATAAATCATTTTCACGATTCCAGTTACTATCACTGACATAATTAAATTGAACGAATTTATTCAAATGTTCAAATATGATCGTGATTGAATAGTGCATAAATGCTTCTACAGAAATTCACAGGTCCAAATCGATATGATTATTAACTCTACCGGAAAAACTGAAATTAATGTGAATATTGAATGAAACTCAGCAACACAATGAACACAGATTCAAAGTGCCACTCTTCACTGATTCACATAATCTCACGAAAATAAGATGATAATTCTTTATTTCAAAAACCACCTTGAATATGTACCAACAATTTTTATATGATATTCATGGATTTCAAAATTTTAATTGAAACCAAGTGATGTAGTGAGACATTTCCAATTCGAATTGAAATAGTATTCTAAATAGTAGCTGGTGACTCGAGTGCCGGCTCTGTGGTATTATGTCAAGGCACGCGGTACGATACATTTCAACAATGAAATCCTATTACTGAAAAAAACGATTTGGGTGTTACGTCTCTAAATGTCGAATCTCTTCTGAATCCTTTCGTGCTTCCATACAAATTGAAATTAACTTTTTCTAAAAGGACACGTAATTAGAACATTCTTATGCAAATAAGTGCTACACAACAGCAACATAAATCTAAACCTCTTGATGTCGGATTCACTAACATCTAGGTTTTGAAATTTAAGATTGCCCCATACCATCGACAACTTCAAGACAAGCTCGTAGGCTATTGAAATTGATCAGTTGAAATCAACAATCAAGTATTTTTATACATCTTCGGAATATACCCATCAAAAATGTTGTGATTTCACAAATTGACCTGGCTGTTCAACTTTCCATCCACCACCTGTCTCATAAAAAACCAAGAACTCCTAAATTTTCACGACTACTGTTTCCACCATGAAACTATTCTCTGCGAAAAAAAACACTATATGGCTTTCGCCATCATTTCCAATAAATATGGAGTAAATAAAGATTTACGGCATAGAACGACATCTTGATGGCAAATCAAAATTTATTGTCGTTCACCCCTGAGAGTCATAACGTTATATCCGCAAAATCTGAAAATCGCTGTATATGAAATTATCGAATATTAACTCAAGCAACACAACACGAAAAAGGTCGACGAGAATTATCTATTGGAGAATGATGGTTTGGATGTTCGGCATAGTTGAAAATTACTGAAGATGCACAGAAGAAAGTTAATAAACAATATAGACAATCAAAATAAAAATTAGGTTGATAAAAATCAGACTGATCAAGTTTCTGAAGCAATTCAACTTATTGTCGGAATTTCAGTTCGGTTTTAAAGAAGTCAGATCAACCGAGGATGCAATTTATGAACTTACTACAATTGTTCATAATCTTCTAGAAAAAAATACCCATACTTGGAATATTTATAGACCTCTCCAGGGCTTTTGACACTGTATGTCACAAAACCCTTCTACGGAAGCTGTGATCTATGGTGTTCCGCAAGTCACTGTGCTGGGGCCCTTTCTTTTCACTATCTATATGAATAGTGTATTTTCTTTAAATAATGCTGGTCAAACTATCAATTTCTCTAATGATACTGCCATTTTGTACACTTCTTCAACTTG